TGCCTTGTTTACTGCAAACATATACAATAAGTAAGGAATTATGGAGACAGCTGTTGTTCACCTTGCGTGTTGTAAGCAGGCCCACACTGGTATAGTAAGATTGACTAAAGAAAAATCCCATTATTGTCCAATTAAAGGCTTATTGCCTTTTTTACTGCAAACATACACAATAAGTAAGGAATTATGGAGACAGCTGTTGTTCACCTTGCCTGTAGTAAGCAGGCACACACTGGTGTAATAGGATTGACTAAAGAAAAATCCCATTATTTTCCAACTCATGGCTTGTTTACCTCAAACATACAGCCACAACCTAATTCCAGAAGTCCGTATGTCTTCCTTCATCATCTTCCCAGTGCCAGTGCTGCTAAAACCATATAGATAGAGGACTCGGCAGAAAGTTTTGCTGGGCAAACATTTAAAAGACTTTGCAAAAAGCAACTTCTTTGTCAGAGTCTTTGTTAATTGAGTTATGCCTTTATAAGTAAAATCTTTCAAAACATGACAAGTTAATTTCTTGGTTAGATTTTTCTTTAACTCTGTCCTCATGACTATTGCTTCCATATCCTATGGCAACATATTTTTGCAGAACTGAGCAGATTAATATGTAACTCCCATTGAGTGAATCCTGCAATGTCACTGGAACCTAATAATGGAGTCATCTGTGCAATGTTAATTCTGCACTCAACAATGTGTGGTTTGAGTTATGATAGATGAAAATTCTAAAAACATGTGCCGAGCACAATTTATTCCAGCTCGTCACCCCAAAGTGTGGATACTGGAAACATAAAATCTGATAGTCCCAGAAGTTGGACAGCTGATGCTTGGAGAAATCATGAGGACTGGATTAACAGTTAAGGCAACACACTCTTTGTGAAGCAAAGCCCTGTGCTCTCCCTTCCCTTCAGGCCCACTGACTTCCACATTTTCCTCATAGTTGTGCTGCCTTTTAAATTCTGAGCAGCTGTTTAAGACTGGAAGATTAACGCTCTCTCTGCCTTGCACAGCCCTGAATGAATGAAGCTGATCACAATGTGAATGAGGTCTTCTCAAATATTTCTTTAGCATCCTTGTAGCAAAAGTCTCCAGAGAAAGCATGCTGTGTGAATTCCTTGGACCAGCTGTTGAGATAATATTGTAGTTTATATAGGCAAGATAGGTTCTGTAGATCTGTTCCTAAGTTGAATTTGTTTGTAACTCGGAACTGGTACATTTTTAACTGTAACTCCATATATATGCTTCGAATAACATAGGGTCTGGGGACGCAGTGGGTTAAACCATTGAGCTGCTAAACTTGTTGACCGAAAGGTTGCAGGTTCGAATCTGGAGAGTGGTGTGAGCTCCTGTTGTCAGCCCCAGCTTCTGCCAACCTAGCAGTTTGAAAACATGCAAATGTGAGTAGATTAATAGGTACCGCTTCTGTTGGAAGGTAGCGGCGCTCCATGCAGTCATGCCGGCCACATGACCTTGGAGGTGTCTGTGGACAACACTGGCTCTTCAGTTTAGAAATGGAGAGGAGTACCAACCCCCAGAGTTGGACACGACTAGACTTAATTTCAGGGGAAAACCTTTACCTTTACTAACATAGGGAAGGATTAACACCCCCATGGAGTTTGATTTCCTGTCTGGGCCTTGTTCAGAAAATTTCACCTCACTTACTGTCCCTTCCTGTGACAATTGGATTTTGAAAAAAATGACTTGTTGTGGAAACAAAGATTGGTGATAAAGCTTCAGTGGAGACACCGTTTCCCCATGACAATTCTTTCAAGAGTGAATTTCCCTTCCGAGGGGTATATTTCTCTCACTTCCTGTTAGTTAAGAATGAGGGCGAGAATCGTTTGTAAGTCGGACATTTTGTAAGTCGGGGACTGCCTGTATAGGAAAACTTACGTAGGCTAAGATCTTAGAGAACTACCTTGCAAAATATTATCTGAAACAGAATTACTTATCCATACCATATGACAAAATACAATATATTGTTCTATGCCCTCCATTTCAAGATGAAAACTATACAATGGTAGAATGTAGCAGAGATGACAAAAGTTATCATTGAGGAAGAACACATAAGCTCAAAGAGGGTGCAGCAGATATATCTTAGCTGTATTCCCATGGTTCAAAGAAACATTTGAGTGACAAGTTACATATGTTTTAAGTAATATAGTGGTCCCTCGTGGATACCAAAACTTTTGGATGTCAAGTTCTATTACTCCCCCCACCCCCCTCTATTTCCTTTCAGCCTAGAGTTTCCTTCTCAGCTGACCTTGGGCTCTCTCCGGGTTTTTTCCCCCTTCCCTTCCTCGGCGGCCTGCCCAGGGCCTGGGTGATTTTGGCCTCACTTTGGGCTTCCTCGCGTGGCCACCCACCATCCTCTGGCCAGCATTTGCCACTGAGGTCATGCATCCAGCCTCTCTTTGAATACCCTACTTCACGGAATTTCACTTATCGCAGGTGGTCCTGGAACGTAACACCCGTGATAGGTGAGGGAATACTCTATATACCATGACATAGAAAAATAGTGTCCCTTACATAAAATGGTAAAATCAAGATGGGCTTTTTGGAGTCTCCTTTTGAATATTTTCAAGCTGTAGATCTTTGAATCCATGGACGCAGAGCACTGACTGCAGTATTATTATTTTTGCAGGGAATACTTTAGCTTACATCTTGGAAAAGTTAATTGTTTCACTACATACCTCAGTCAGCATAGTGCTTTCTTAAGAGGTATCGTGTGGAGTTTCCAGGAGAAGGTTTTATCCTTAAGTCTATATTTATTTATTTATTTATTAAAAAACAAAACATCATTAGATTCAGAAACTCATATCCTGGGGCGTTGTTGAGTTTGCAGAACAGGGAGGTTGATTTAATAACAGGCTGAGCATCCTCAGTTGATCTTTGCTCTCTGTTTCACAAACAATTTAATCGCAGCAAAGGCTTTAATGACACTGGTATTAGGCACATTAGGCGCACAGTAAAACTACAGTAATAAAGCGATTCGTGGCCTTAAATGTCTAAGAAAGGTTCATGCATGGGAAGAAAAGTGTTGGCATTAGATGCTTTTACTGTGGATTATGGGGAAAGACAGATGTTACATTTGTAGGTCAGTGGGGTTAGCCTTCAGCCTAACTTCAACTTGAGGGTTGTGCTCTGTCAAAGGAAGGAAGGAGGGAAGAGATCCTGTAGGTCCTGTTCTTAAGCAGCTTTTGAACTCTTAAAAATGGTACCACAAAAATGAAAGGCTTGATATGTAAACAGAAAATGCACATGTAGCCCTTCAAAAATTAAAAAGTGATGAGATCCCTTCAAGCATTGGCAGGAAGATGGGATTGGGAATTGATTCTGTTCAATTCACTGCAATATAACTAAGGAGACCATGAAGCTGGCGCTAAACCAGGCTACTGCAGTGCACTCTATGTGAGGCTACCCTTGAAGACGGCCCGGAAACGACAACTTGTCCAACGTTCGGCAGCCAGATTAATAACTGGGGCTAGTTACAGGGAGTAGTTGTTCCCCCTGTTTAAGGAGCTCCGCTGGCTGCTGTTTATTTTCCAGGCCCAATTCAAGGTACAGGTTATCACCTATAAAGCCCTAAATGGTTTGGGACCCACCTACCTTCGTGATGGTATCTCTCTCCATGAACCAACTCGGGCCCTTCGATATTTGGGGGAGGACCTCCTTTCGCCCCTGCCAGTTTCACAAGCTTGTCTTGCGTGCACAAGGGAGAGAGCCTTCTCCTTTGTGGCTCCCCGACTCTGGAACTCATTACTTTGAGAGATCAGGAAAGCCCCTACCCTAGAAACCTTTAAAAAGAACCTTAAAACCTGGCTCTTCCGCTGCACCTTTGGTGTGTAGGTGCACAACATGACACTACTGCTCCCCTCAATGCTTCTGCCACTGGAGGTAGTTGTATCTGCCTGCAAGTAGTTGTATCATTTATCCTTGAAATATAGAGTATAGTTGGAATATCTCCCACCACCCATGTTCTTGTGTTGTTGTTTATTCGTTCAGTCACTTCTGACTCTTTGTGACCCCATGGACCAGAGCACGCCAGAGCTCCCTGGTGGCTGTCACAACCCCAGCTCCTTCAAGCCAGTCACTTCAAGGATACCAACCATTCATTCATCTTACCCTTGGTCGGCTCCTCTTCCTTTTTCCTTCCATTTTCCCCAGCATCATTGTCTTCTATGAGCTTTCTTGTCTTTGCCTCTAATATCATCTTTGCCTCTAATATCCTTTCCTCCAGTGAGCAGTTGGGCTTTATTTCCTGAAGTATGGACTGGTTGGATCTTCTTGTGGTTCAAGCCACTCTCAGAATTTTCCTCCAACACCACAGTTCACCCATGTTGTAGGGCAACATGACCTGGAAGTCAACAAAGAAAAGCCACATGCACAATGGAGGACCTTCTCACAGCCACATCAGAGGCACTCCAAGTGGCCAGCTTCTGGTCAAAGGACATTTAATACAATGCCAAGTTTTTAATTTTGCGTTTTTAAATACATTATAATGGTACCCTTAATTCACTTCTGACACAATAAATAAATAAATAAACAAAAAGTTACAATTGCAAAAATGCTCTAAAGAAACACACATTTCTTCCTACGCTCTCTTGTTAATGCACATTCACAACATTTTTCGAGGTCTGCATTTGTCACATGAGCTGCTCCTTCTCCATGCCCGAGATAAGTAAATTAAAACACCCATATTTTTTCCCTCATTTTGCACAAGTCTTTGGTAAATTATGAGTTTTATGTCATTTGTTCGTATGGGAGATGTTATAATATAACTTTTCACCTTTGGGTAAGAAAGAAATGTGCTAAATTTTGATCCCAAAGGTGGCATTTTTACTTTAACCTCTTCAATTTTATCATTTGACTGAGTAAAGGCAATTAATTTCTCTAGGATCTTCAGAAGGTATCAAGGTTTATTCAGGACTTTGAAAACCATTTAAGGGGGGATTAAGATATATTGCTGCGAAGTACAGGTATCAACCAAATCTTTTCCCTTCCAGGTCGCCATTGTGAGGTACATCAGATGATAGGAAACTACATGTGGGATCCAACTAGAAATATATCTTTTGATATTGGCGTGAATGAAGACAGTCTCTTACCTCTTTGGTGGAATGGATCAGAACCTTTATGGGTTACTATGATGAAAGCAAAGAGGAAAGTCTTCATGTACTATTGGCCGGGTGAGTATTGCCAAATCCAGTGTCTCATAAATTGCTGACTAACTCTGTATGTTCTCCTTGTGAACAGCTATGAATAAAAGCCTCTGTGACTGAGTGCTCCCATTCTGATCTAACACAGAGCGCAGATGGAGCTCCTTTTTACAAAGCTGAAATCCCACTTATCAGCTGTTTAGCAAGTACAGCAAGGCAGATGGAAAATGAATCCAACACATCTCTTGTTCCTGCTCCCAAACTGATGATGGAAGGGATTTCAGCTTTTAAAACTGAGTTCAGAAACTGGATTATGGACGAAAACCATCTGCAGCATACTTCTTTGTGTGTTCATCCCAGATAGACAACACGTGAAAAAGTCACTTTCTACATGTGCTGGTTTTGCTGCTGGTTTTTCATTGGCCACCTGTGCTGTAAGAAAAGAAAGGAAATCACTGAATATTGTAACACTGCCTATTTCTTTTATGCTGTGTTAATCAGGAAGGTCTGTATGCATAGAGAGTTTGTAGTACATTACGGATTGAGAGGAAGAAGTTGTAGTAGAAGCCTTCATAGATTTGTTTACGTCCTCCAATGCAAGAGCTGACTCTTTAGGCCAAGGGTCCTTAAACTATGGCCCACGGGCCACATGCGGCCCACCAAGGGCATTTATCTGGCCCATCGGGTGTGGAGAAGGGCGAGTCCCCCACCTCCCCAAGATGTGCTGGGCCTCAGCAAACAAGTGAAGGAGGAAAATTTCTGCCATTTCCCCACAACTCAAAATCTGTTAGCGGAAAAACCATTGGTTACATTCCTAAACAAAGCATGTGTGTATTTACTGGAAAAGTTGCAAAAGGAGTTCCAATTTAGATTTAAAGAGCTTCATATCCATGAACAGGACATACAGCTTTTCCGTAACCCATTTTCTATTGACATTGAAAATGTGGATACAGTTTACCAAATAGAACTGGCTAAACTGCAGAATTGTGACTCTTTGAAAGATGCATACAAGTCAAGCAGACTTCCTAATTCCTATGCCTCTCTCCCCTCTGAAACACATCCTAGTCTCAGGAACTATGCACTCAAAATAGCAACCATCTTTGGCAGCACTTACGTCTGTGAACAGACTTTTTTCAGAATGAAACATCTGAAATCTCTAACCAGATCTAGACTAACTGATGCACACTTGCATCACTTGTTACAACTAATAGTGACAAATATGGAACTGGACATTGACCATCTCATAGCCAAAAGCAGGTCCATAGTTCCCATTGAAACACTGGTAGGTTTGTTGATTTAACTTTACTTGTTCTTCACTTTAAATATTGTATTTGTTCCCATTTTGTTTTGTTTTGTTTTTGCTTCAAAATAAGATGCGCAGTGTGCATAGGAATTTGTTCATAGTTTTTTTTAAAAAAAACTATAGTCTGGCCCTCCAGTGGTCTGAGGGACAGTGAACTGGCCCCCTGTTTAAAAAGTTTGAGGTCCCTTGCTTTAGGCTATAGGAGTAGACCCATCTCTGCTCTCCTTTCATCAGTAGGCAAGAAAATTTCAACCCACATGATGCATATTCATGATGTGTGGAAGGGGTAGTTTAATTCCATTGCTACCATATATGCTCATCCATAAGATGATCTCATGTCTAAGTCGAGGGCAGGTTTGGGACCAAAATTATGAATCTTGATATGACCCATGGTTTAGTTGAGGGTCATTCTGCACAGGCTTACATGGGGCCCAAGCCCAAGGCAGAATACAATTAAAAAGAAAGAAAAACAATTAAGACAGCATAAAACTGCATAAAAACATAACAATAATAGCTAGCAACAACAATAACGGCAGACTAATTTTGGCGGGGGGGTCACTACATGAACTAGTTAAAGGATAAGTGGTTTAGTAAGGTGGATAACAATGTATAATGGCATAGGACATATAATGGAAACAGAGTAAATTAACAGGATCAGTTAATGTAATATAGGACATCAAACATCATTTTTACACTCATTTTATATACCTAAATATACCTGGAGTAGGAAGCCCCCGGTGGTGCAGTGGGTTAAACCGCTGAGCTTCTGAACTTGCTTACCGAAAGGTCGGCGGCTCAAATCTGGTGAATAGGGTGAGCTCCCACTGTTAGCCCCAGCTTCTGCCAACCTAGCAGTTCAAAAACAAGCAAATGTGAGTAGATCAATAGGTACCACTTCTGCAGGAAGGTAATGGCACTACATGCAGTCATGCCAGCTACATGACCTTGGAGGTGTCTATGGACAACGCCAGCTCTTAAGCTTAGAAATGGAGATGAGTACCAACGCCCAGGGTCGAACACAACTGGACTTAATGTCAGGGGAAAACCTTTACCTTTACCCGGGGAAGGGGTCCCAATTGGAAAAGTTTAAGAAGCCCTCATCTAGGCCATCTTTCCTTTGTGCCTTCTAGATGTTCTGGAGAAGGCTTAAAATATTAAAAGGTGTCAGGTTAGGAAGACTAGTTTAGATAGAGGATTTGGCCAACCTGATTGGAAAATGTCTATCTATCATATTGGAGAATCTCAAGAAACACAGCAAACTCAGATACACAGCAAACTCAGCATATGTTCATGGAAAACTCCAGTAACAGTCATGGAATAATGGAAATACAAAAAAGACTACAGTAATATTTCTTTTTTCCAGGTTTGATCACTTTTATACTGTGTTTTAAGGCTACTTAGTTTTTAGGAGCATGCAGTTTGATTTCTGGATCAATAACCAAAAATATTGAAAAAAATAAAATAAAAACACAATTCAAATTCCATTCATTTTTCCCTTCAAATAAGACATTTCCCAGATCATTTGAATGAGTCTGCAAGTGTTTAAGAGAAAGCTGTTATGACATTCTGCATCCAGCTATTAAACCAATATTTAGGCATGCAATTTGGAAAAGACAGAAGTTCAAGTCCTTGTGTCAAACATTTAAAGATACATTCCATTATAAAAGGGTTGTGGGTGAACAGCCATTCTTTTTTTTAAAAAATCTCAAATTGCATAGATCTAATTATTCCCTATTATGCGTATAATACAATCAGTGCAACGTTGTTGTTATTTGCTATCAGGTCATTCTTGACTTACGGTGATGTTGTCAAGTCTTGTGAACTTGGGGCTGTGGCTTCCTTGAGTCAATCTATCAATCTATCTGCTGCAATTAGTATCCATTTTACCAAGCATTATTATATTTCCCGGTGTCGATGGAAACAACATCCAAAAATGCCCTTATTGTTCAATTAATTCATTTTCCAAAAATATGTGAATTAATTACAATGATATGTCATGAACGATACTGTCTAAGACTACTCAGGACTTCATCAGATAGAACTGGGAAAAATGGAGGAAAGCAGGGAAAACAATCTTGTACGTAGAATAGTCTTCTTTGCATGGGATTTCGTCTTTAAAGAACATGATGAATTTACTTACCCCATCACACAGGATCACCTCCTTCCTCTAGCTCAACAACCCACTTAGAAAAGACACAAGTCATCATTCTTAAGATACTACTTCTATGGGCTCCTTTACTTTCCCTCACAATCTTGTTACTCTAGAGGAGACCCAAGGCACTGTCATATAAGACACCTAAGCCAATCTTGTTACTCTAGAGGAGACCCTAGACACTGTCATATAGTACATTTCCCAGATCATAGAGGAGACCCAAGTCACCATTCTTAACACAGACACCACTTCTATGGGATCCTTTACGAGGGTTGAATGAAAAGTAATGCCTCCACCTTCGTTACTTGGGTTTGGATGGGAATATTTTAATAAATCAAACGCAGAAATAATCCTTAGAATTTGCTCTTTAACTACCACTATTCACTTTTCCACATAATCACCAGACAATTGGATACATTTCTGCCAACAATGAACAAGTTTTCTGAAGCCGTCACGGAAGAAGTTGACACTCTGTTTCCGCAACCCATCGTGCACAGATCTTCTGATAGCCAAGCAAAGCAATAAAGTGACCCACACGTTCTTGTGAAATGCCGATTATGCTTGAAATTTCTCTCTGAGTGATATGACAATCGTCCTGAATCAATCTGTCAACCTTTTGCTTGTGAAACTAGGTGGTTGCTGTCACAAGACATCCAACTCTTTGTTTGTCATGCAAGTCAGATGTTCCCACCTCAACATCTTTAAACTTACTCACCCAATGACGCACAGTACTCACATAACACAATCACCATAAACAGCTTGCATTCTCCGATGAATCTCCTTTGGGGTGACACCTTCTGCTGTCAAGAATTCAATGACTGCACATTGCTTAAGTCGCATTGACCGACCATCTGCACAGGGTTCCATACTTCGCACTTTAACAACACAATCATTAAATGCTAAACTTTCCACCAAAATGGATCTGTAGAGGAGAGTCTACTGAACAAGCTAGTACCTGCCGCATACCAGTACTGCCATATGTTGAAGAGTTACGAAGGTGGAGGCATTACTTTTCATTCAACCCTCATACTTTCCCTCTCAAGCCCTTTACTCTAGAGGAGATTCAAGGCACCATTCTAACTTCCTATAGTTGGTAAAAAAAAGTGAACAAAGAAGTTAAAAATCTAGCAATGGTGCAATTTCAAAAAGTCAGATTAGTATGAAGGAAAAAATGCAGCAAAAGCAACATAGTAATATCTTACAATTGCGCAATTCCTTAGGATTACATTAATTAAAAAAAATACTGTTCCAGACTCATACAGTAGGATTTTGTAAAAGAAGGGGAGCATAGGAAACTGCCCATTCCTCCACATCACTTAATACAACACAGGTGAATCTGACAGGTCCAGCACTGTCTCCTGTTTCCACATGCATCAGGAGCTCAGAAGATGATTTCTCCCCAGCTTCAGTTTTCCCTGATTCTCCAGATTTCTGACACAGTTCACTGATGAAACACCACAGATGACAGTTGGAAGTCTGTCTACATCATATGGTGGGCTCCATGGTACTTCATCTATGAACTATTTTAGATGTGTGTAGAAACAGGGAGAGGGTATTTGCGTGTGATGAAGTCCTCAGACTTTGACTCTCCAGATCTTTTGGACTCTAACTCCCAGAATTCTCACCATGGACTAAGCTGGTTAATGTGTTTGTGAACTGCAGCTCAAAGTAGCTATTGTAAATTGCTAGAGAACAGAAATTAATGGCTCATATCCTAATTTTGAATCACATGTGTATATACTGATTTGTACTTATTATATGTATTCCAGTTTAGAATCATGACTACAAATCAGAACAACACAAGTCTGTGACGAAAAATCTTTTGTAATTTTTCACTTGTTTTTAATGTAATTTTGGGAGCTGAATTTTAAAAAAATGATAAAAAAAATGTGTCATATACAATTCTTTCACATGTTTGGCCGTTACTCAGTTTCGATTAAGTGCAAACATTGGTTCCATTGTGATTTCTTTTGAGCTTTCTTTTGTTTTTCATGTCATCTAATTACAATAGTGTATTTTGAAAGTGTTTTGAAAGTATTTTCTAAGCTGTTTCCTACTGTTTACTTTTTACATCCAAATAAATATAAGTCATTTACTACAAAATAAAAACTTCAAGGCAAGTTGTGAAGAAAAAAAAACACGGCATGTGATGAAGCAAATCTGAGATTGGTTTTGGATTTAAAATGTTAAATTCCGATAAAACCAGCATACATTTTTAAAAGGTTTTGATGACCTTCAGCATTGTAGGCCTGTTTAATTTAACTGTTATATAATTGTATTAGGACTTTGTTTTTCCAGGGTTTAACAGTCTTGACCTATGATCTTGAAATCAACAGAAACTAAACAAAGAGTGGAATCTGTCAATTAGGACTACAGAAATATTTTCCCACAGGCATTTAGTAAAGCTGAGGAATCTGTCAATCTTCCCTCCCAAATATCCCATTAATTTATCTATCCTGGGATGCATGAATCTGGTAGTATGTTAAGTGCGCAACCAAATAATAACCTCATTTCGAAAATGTGTTAGTAATTGCTTACAGATAGCACAACTACTTCTCAACTAACTACTTCAATTTGAAATTGTGTGTTTTAGCATGTTTAGCACAGGGATGCTTAAACTTTTTCCACTCGTGACCTCCTTCTGTCCAAGAATTTTTTACGTAACGTCAGGTATATACGTATATAAAATAGGTACTGAAATCAAATACTTACTGGTAATGAATCAGTGTTTGTAAGGCTATCTCACCAGTCTAATTTACCTTTTTATGACACATCTTTTTTGCAGAGTCCACTGTAAACACTGCACAACAGATCCATTTGTTGTTGTTTATTCATTCATTCACTTCCGAATCTACGTGACCTCATGGACCAGCCCATGCCAGAGCTCCCTGTCAGCTGTGGTCACCCCCAGCTTCTTCAAAGTCAAGTCAGTCACTTCAAGGATACCATTCAAACATCTTGTTCTTGGTAGGCCTCTCTTCCTTTTTCCTTCCATTTTCATCAGCATAATTGTCTTCTCTAAGCTTTCCTGTCTTCTCATTATGTGGCCAAAGTGCTTCATCTTTGCCTCTAATATCCTTCCCTTCAGTGAGCAGTCGTGCTTTATTTCCTGGAGTATGGACTGGTTTGATCTTCTTGCCGTCCAAGACCATCTCAGAATTTTCCTCCAGCTCCACAGTTTAAAAGTGTCTATCTTCCTTTACTCAGCCTTCCTTATGGTCCAGCTCTCGCATCCATAGGTTACTACAGGGAATACCATTACCAACAGATTCATGGAAATGTCTAAAACAGCCACTAAGTGACATGTAGAAAACTTTCACTGCTGCCAAACTTTTTAGGACCCCAACATTGAGTTGACTGCATTTTGGGGTCAGGATCCACAGTTTAAGAAGCAGTGACTAAGGGCAAGTTACACTCTCTCCACCTCATAAGAAGACAGAAACAAGCACTCTTTGAGGGCACTTTTAGAAAGCATCATAATCCGGAACAAACAAGTGGGGCAAAAAAATCAGAGGACCCTATAGCAAGTCCAAACATGGAGCTGTCAGTCCCGGTAAATGCTTCCCTGGTGTCCTGACACTTTTGTTTGTAGCAGATTTTAGAAATATTCAAGATGGACATCTGGTGGAAGTTTACTTTTAATTTTTTTTAATTGACCCTCCGAGATGCGTTGGACCTCAGAAGCTTTGATGTGGATGCCTGATTTCTTTTTATCTCTCCTCACCCGCCTATAAATTCAAGCTCTGTTTAATTTCATAAACATAAGAACAATGGAATGGTTGCAGTGAGTTTTTATTGTAATTGCTTTCCAATTGTGCTTCCATTTAACCACCTGAGTGTCTGTGGTTTACAGCCTTGATCAGCTGTTTCAGGATTTTAAACATGCGCTGGAGCAGTCAACACCAGCATATAGGAACAAAGTCACATGTTTTCCTTGACTGTAGGGATATGCAGTAATCTTGAATCCTATGCTGAGAGAATAAAGGCAGGGAATAAAATAAAATAACAATTGGGAATTATGCATGCTTGTCATATAACTTGCTTCCTTCAATGCAGCCATCATTTCCCAGCATTCACATTAAGGATTGCGTTCTCCTTCTCAAAAGAGGAAATGGAATACGCAGTTGTAAGGAGCACATATCTTCTCCTATTTAGATTCGGAAAACCTTGCTTCTTCTCCACATTCTGCATTATGTGTTCATGGATTCAAGGAAATACATATTATAGCACTAGTTTCAGGCCCTTGGGGTATTAAAAAACTAGATTGCTTGTATATTTCGTTGCTGAACAGAACAGCTATAAATATTAATATTACAACATGTCTCCTCTGTGTTTAGAGCACACACACCCCTTTTACAATTCATTGCCATAAGCTTCCAGGACTCCATACATAGTGTGTTTTGTTGGAAAAAGCTTGAGGTGTCATCGAAATTAATTGGTGCAAAATACATTAAGATTCTATAGGGAAATAGATTCAGCAGTTCGATACATCAGTTCCATAAAGGGAAACTGCAACTATTTACAAAAGGTTTAGTAGAGGCTGCATTTAATTTCTCTGAGTATGTTATAGTATGACTGATTACTCAAGTAGAAAATGGGGCCAGTTTTTGACAAAGAAAACTACAGTAGGCGGCTACATTTTAAAGTTTCCCCACTTTTGTGAGAGTCCTGTGTTGTGCCCCTAATTGCCACAAAAATGGAGAAACTACTGTAATTTAGAGGGCTGCACAGTGGGTTAAACTGCTAATCTGCAAAACTTGCTGACTGGAAGTCAGCAGTATGAAACCGTGGGATGGAGTGAGCTCCTGCTGTTAGCCCCAGCTTCTCCTAACCTAGCAGTTTGAAAACTTGCAAATGTGAGTAGATCAATAGGTACTGCTTCGGAGGGAAGGTAACGGTGCTCCATAAAGTAATGCCGGTCATATGACCTAGGAGTCATCTACAGACAACACCGGCTCTTCAGCTTAGAAATGGAGATAAGCACCACCCCCCCCCCAAGAGTTGGACTTGACTAGACTTAATGTCAAAGGGAAACCTTTACCTTTACTTTACTGTAATTTAATCCAGATTTAATTAAGATACTATGAATCCTGCAGTATTCAGTAGCAGTCACATCTAAGGTTTCTGATAAAATGTGAAGTTTTACATGTACATTTTCGCAGTATTATGTACTCATGCGAATGCATGAACTGTGTCTGTTGGAAATGTTCACTTCATTATAATTTTGATCTGGAAGTACTGCATTGTTAATGGAGCTGTTACTTCAAATAATAATAATAATAATAATAATAATAATAATAATAATAATACTTTATTTATATTCCGCTCTATCTCCGTAGAGGGACTCAGGGCAAAAAAATGTAAGGATTACTAGAAAAAAGACCATATCCCTCCGACTTTTGGCAAGCCATTACTAACTATATTTCTCTTTAGGATGTGAAGTTGAAATCCTTGGACACCGACCTACCTACTGCCTACCATACTACAGTGTTCCAACAGATGCCGATTTCTCAAATGCTGTAAATAGTGCTGTTGAATCTTTAAGGTAAAGAGACTAGTACATTTTACTTTTTTATGTCATGCAGGGCACTTTTTTCTGCACAAGGATAACGAGAAGTAATTAATTGGGGTCCCCCCACAAATTTCCTTTATTATATATTATTATTTAGGTGGCAATCTTTGTTTTGCTAAGATTTGTGGGTTGATAAAATTACCTTGCTTCCATCCAAAGCAAACTTCTAAGTTCCATGATGGGTTTCCTTTTGCTAAAAGATTTTAATTGATCCTAGAGCACAACAGAAATGCTGAAAAGTTCCTCTAGCTCAGAGCAGTGATGTAGAATTTTTTTTCTAGATTAGTTTATTTTCTCCAGATTCTGTGCAACTCTTCATAGTTCTTTGGTCATATACCCATTCAAATGCTGCAATATTTTGTAATAGAACGATTGCTAATCAGTATGGAAGTTCGGATACTGGGTTGGCATATGAGGGAGACTGAAGTGAAATGTCATTATTTAATGCAAACTTGCAGCTTGGTTGGAAGCCCCGTCTAGACTATTGTGTCAAGTCAGAAATCGAACTCTGGGTCAGCTTTTTCCAATCTGGCATCCTCCAGGTATACTAAATGACAACTCTGGCATTGTAGTTCAACACTTCAGCAGAAGATGGGATGCCAAACTGGGGAAAGCTATTTGTAAATTGGTTTGTTTATTTTGGCTTAATGTTTCACCCCAGGAGAATAAAACTAAATTGTGCTGAATTTCAAATGCTGCATCATGATCCAACATGACGCAGTCTTTTGTTTGTAAAGTGATGTTTATGTGGCCTTCAAATACCATAGTGATGTAGGTCCAATAATAACAACTAGTAGTATATGTTTTTTCTTTAGCAATTTTTCTTCTTAGCACTAATTTTTTTGTGGGTGTCTGACACCCATTTGCACAATCATTAAGGCAATAAGTCAGATTTTTTATCTCCTATGTGTTTGCATTGCTGAAGTTCACTGGATGTTTGTAATTTGTGATTATGCTTTTAGACATTCAGATATTTAATTTTGTGGTTTTTGGGTTGTCAATTTCAGTATTTGCTTTTCTGATTTTAATTGTACATGTTTTATTTGGAATTATTATTAACCTTTAAGTTATAAATCAATTAAAGAAATGCACAAATGTTGTTAACTGTTATGGCCCCATCTTTATTTTTTTGACACTTGAACATAAGTATGAAGTAATTCTGAAAGATCGGACAAAACCATTTTAGAGATGTATTTATTTACAGCATTTATATACCGTTTTTCTCACCCCTAGGGGGACTCAAAGTGCTTTACACATAAAAAATGGCAAAAATTCAATGCCTTACAACTACAATAGTAAAACCACACTTTAAACATATATCATATTAAAAACAGTGCATCATCAAATATCAAAACAGGTATTAAAACCATTAAACAATCTCATCAGTCGAGTCGCCATTCCAGTCCTTGTCCCACTAAAAGCTGCGTACATCTATTGTCCGAAGGCATGGTCCCAGAAACATGATTTTAATTTTTTTCTAAAGGTCAGGAGTGAGGGAGCAGATCTTACCTCCTTTGGGAGTGTGTTCCATAGGCGGGGGGCTACAGCTGAGAAGGCCCTGCTCCTCGTCCCCGCCAGCTGCATTTGCGCTGTTGATGGGAGCGAGAGCAGGGCCTCCCCGGATGATCTTAAATTGCAAGGTGGGATGAAGGGGCAGATGCGTTTGGACAAGTAAGCTGGGCCCGAACCGTATAGGAAGTGTGTAGGAAGGACCAAGTAAGAGTTAAAGGCTCCAGTTGGGTGAAATCTAGGAAAGCAGGAATGCTCTGGTGGTTCAATCATGTCTGCTAAGGAAGATCGTGGTATTTTCATCCAGATTCACTTCAGTTACACTGTCTTTGTGAGAAAAGAGTAGTGCTCTGAAAAGGTTAGCAACCCATGGTATGTAACACAGCTCACACCTCTTCCATTTCCAACATTTAACAATAAATAGCACAGAAATTGGATTCTAATCTTGACATATATTTATTTTATGTTTGTAAACATTTTATGCTTATGCTTTGTCAACCTGCTTGTTCCTGACTTAACTCTTTTGTAATATTGTCACTGTAGAAATGGCTCCGCAGATATGGCAGCAGTGTATTATGAACGAATTGATGTCGAAGGTCATCATTACGGCCCCGCATCCACTCAGAGGAAGAGTGCAGTAAAAGCAGTGGATAACGTTTTGCTCAGTATGACTAAGAGTATCAAGGTCAGTGTCATTTCGACACAACAATGTGGCTCAGTGTTTTCTCCATATTCTTCTGTTCCTCATTCTTATTAACTGTCTGTAATTTTTAGAAAATGGCATTCATAACCATTTGGAGATCATAAACTTTTGGAAAAGCATCACCTTTCAGAGAAGAGCCACAAACTCATTTGAGTAGTATCTTCTAATGTGGTATACAACCAAATGTAATTATACAAGGCAATTGGCTTCAGTTGTTAGACTGAATAACTTTGCTGTCTCTGATCTGTTAAGAAAACAGAGAATATGCCAATGCATAAAAATAACAGTTATTCAGAAGTGTTTTTCAGTGCCCAAAAACGTATCTGCTCTCCCATAAAACAACAACATAATGGGAAGACAGGAAAGCTTAGAGAAGACAATGATTCTGGGGAAAAAGGAAGGAAAAAGGAAGAGCAACAACAGAAGACAAAATAAAGTAGACTTTGGTAAAAATAGCATATTTGGTTTACTCAAAACTTCATGTGTATTCAGAACACACAGGTACAGAACTTATCAGTCAGTTTCAGATATGTTTGAGATAGTTTCTCTGTGTGCAGATGGCACAAGGCATCTTTCTTACAACAACAGCAGGCAAATGTTGGTCTGAGCTGTCCCAAAGTCCGATGGAGTCTGAGGTCTGAGCAGTCTCAGAGCCTAAACTTGTAGTCAGTAGCCCCTCTCACAACTTCCGAGGAAACATAGAGCAAAGGAAAGAAAACTGCATACCAGTACATACAGTAAGTAAGCAGCAGGATTATATACAAACAAATTACTAGAGAAGGCTTGAAGGAGGTTGTAATTTCTAACAGTAATGTTGACTGTGTATTCCTGCATGGCAGGGAGCTGGACTGGATGGTCGCAACTCTTTTTTTTCTTTTTCTTTTTTACTGTTATCAGGGACTAGAGATAAGAGGCCATTTGAAATACAGAGACTGAATTCTGGTTTCCAGCCTAGAAAATCAGTGTTCCAACTTGAACATAAACCCCATTGGTTTTAGCTCAAATGGAACAAAGGACTTTTCCAGGCAGGGTGAAAAATCCAAGACATATCTAAAACATGTGCTCATTTTTCTTTTCATTTCTTAATGTTTAGAGGATTTTTTTCAGTGGTACACTGCTATAGTGCATCAGTATTTATTTGTTAATCGTGTCAGGAGCAAACAAAACAGTTGTATTGTATTTTTTTAAAAAAACACAAAGTTTGCAAACATGGCATTCTATTAAATATCCTTTGACTAGTAACTGGCCATTTGGAGCACCTCTAGTGTTGCTATAGAAGGTCCTCCATTGTGCATTAGGTTGCATTGTAGTAAGTGGTCAGTTGTTTGCACTTCTCCATACTCACATGTTGTGGATTCCACTTTGTAGCCCCATTTCTTAAGGTTGGCTCCGCATTTTATGTGCCAGCGCGAAGTCTGTTCAGTGCCTTCCAAGTCACCCAGTCTTCTGTGTGCCCATTGATTGAGGTTCCGGGTTTTAGCCTGCCACTTTTGGACTCTCACTTGCTGAGGTGTTCCAGTGTCTCTGTAGATCTTAGAAAACTATTTCTTGACTTAAGTTGTTGGTGTGCTGGTTGACATCCAAACAGGGGATGGGCCAGATATGTCACTACCTTGGTCCTCTCTCTATTGGTTGCTACTTCCTGGCGGATGTCAGGTGGTGCAATACCGGCTAAACAGTGTAATTTCTCCAGTGGGGTAGGGCACAGACACCCCGTGATAATGCCACATGTCTCATTAAGAGCCACATCCACTGTTTTAGCGAGGTGAGATGTGTTCTACAGCACATTATATACAAATTGAATTACAGCACATTATATACAAATCCTCCAATAATAGAAATAGAACATATGGTGACAAAAACAACAGGCAAAACCTGACCAAATGCTAGAAGATATAGCATGAGATTTCACACTTCTTTAGACCAATTTAAAAGAGTTGTAACTTCCTTTTAAAATCAGATCTCTTGATACATTCAACTGAACTGGAAGCAGAAGAGGGTGTTTATAAGGATTAGACCCCATTGTTTCTTTTCTCTTATCATAAATCCACTGTACAGGTAACTGAATCTGCTTACCAAAGAGGAAACAGGAATGCCTTTTGTGTCCTTCTCGAGCTATAATCACAATCCTCACTATCTTGGCAGGACAAGGGCCTGGAGAATGACCTGAATGTGATGCTTTTCTCGGATCATGGGATGACTGAAGTTTACTGGATGGAGAAAATTATTATACTGAGCAACTGTATCAACATGAGTGATGTGATACAAGTGAAGGACCGAGGGCCTGTTGTAAGCCTGTGGCCAGCCAAAGACAAGGAGCTTGAGGCAAGGAAAACAGCCACCTTTTCTTTTCTTTCATCCATTTTATGGCAATCTTTTGGTGTTCTGCTGCTCAACATGGATATCCTGTCCTTCCTGGTGTGTTCGGAAATGTGGGAGGGAAAAGGAAGATACAGAGGTTTCATAAGTGATTGGATCTTTGCCCTCTTTGTACCATGATTTCAGAAGGAGCTGCTTCTTAGGACTTCAACCCACGCAATAAGTAAAGCTTCGGGGATTGTTATTTTCCCCTTAAGCTTCGCAACACCCTGTCTGGAAATTAATGAATAATTTTTGTACCCCCTTCACATGTTTTCGCTTCATTCAGCTTTCTTTTCAAATTGCCGTTTGCCTTCCCAGAACATGGGAGATATTCTCCTCCCACTGTCTCATGGAAGTATTTTTAAACTCAAGAACATTAAACATAATAATAATAATAATAATAATAATAACTGCAAAGACTTTGGCACAAGTCAGTAAAGATGGTCCCAGTGGTGATCGGCACACTGGGTGCAGTGTCTAAAGTCCTTGGCCTGCACTTAATCACAATCGGCGCTGACAAAATTACCATCTGCCAGCTGCAAAAGGCCACCTTACTGGGATCTGCACACATTATTCGCTGATACATCACACAGTCCTAGACACTTGGGAAGTGTCCAACGTGTGATCCAATACAACAGCCAGCAAAGTGATCTTGTCTACTGTAGACTCATCTTGTTGTCTTTAAAATAATAACAATAATAATAACCATAATAACATTATTCTTATACCTCGCCACCATCTCCCCGAAGTAACTCAAGGCGGCTTACATATGGGTCAAAATGGCCACAAGACATTAAAACAGAACAACAACCAGATGAAAACACAATTAATTAAAACATAAGAATATAAAACAGCAATGCTGAAAGTCAAAACAAAACTCAACAAAGCCAATAACCAGTAATGAAATGGACAAGACCATAAATGGGCTGTAAAAGGGATGGGCACGGGATAGTGCAAAACAGTGTACTATAGGGTTGGGTATTGGGCAAAGTGCAAAGAATGAAATATTATCAGGCAACCTAGGGACTATGCATTTATAACTGGGACTAACTGTCCCTTCCTCCTCAGTCCTAAAGTTTATGGCAGAAGAAAGGCCATCTCGGGTCCTCCCTACAGAATGATGCCATGATTGTCTTTACAAACAGACAATGAGAAATTTCCATCACACATCAAATTTCTAATATGAACATTAAAGGTGCTATCAAATATGCTGAAACCCAGTCCTCCAAATGGGTTCACTATTTTTAGACATCTCCTTTAATGAGGTCTAAAACCCAGTTCAATCTTCTATTAATATGGAAGTCACCAGCTCTTCCGTTGCTGAGAAGCAGTACCACTGTAGGGCATTCTGGGTGGAACTGCCCATGATGTCTTCTTGATTTGATAGACATTTTAGTCTTCCAAACTCTTAACAGAATATGTTCCCAGCAATGTGTAACTTAAATGTTCGAGTACAGTTTGCATGTAGATTTTTTAAAAAAAACCTATTACTACATTTCCCATATTAGGTTTGAGCATTGGGGTTAAGGAAGCATCCTTCTTGTGACCCTTTCCTATCTTCCTTTCAAGGAAGACTGGCTTTGAAGAACAGGGTTAGCATTGTTCCTGTGACCCTTTCCTATTTTCTTTTCAAGGAAGCCTGGCTTTGAAGAACAGGGTTAAGGTAGCATCCTTCCTGTGACCCTTTCCTATCTTCTTTTCAAGGAAGCCTGGCTTTGAAGAACAGGGTTAAGGAAGTATCCTTCCTGTGACCCTTTCCTATCTTCTTTTCAAGGAAGCCTGGCTTTGAAGAACAGGGTTAAGGTAGCATCGTTCCTGTGACCCTTTCCTATCTTCTTTTCAAGGAAGCCTGGCTTTGAAGAACAGGGTTAAGGAAGTATCCTTCCTGTGACCCTTTCCTATCTTCTTTTCAAGGAAGCCTGGCTTTGGAGAACAGGGTTAAGGTAGCATCGTTCCTGTGACCCTTTCCTATCTTCTTTTCAAGGAAACTTAGCTTTGAAGAATGGGGTTAAGGAAGTATCCTTCCTGTGACCATTTCCTATCTTATTTTCAAGGAAGCCTGGCTTTGAAGAACAGGGTTAAGGTAGCATTGTTCCTGTGACCCTTTCCTATCTTCTTTTCAAGGAAGCCTGGCTTTGAAGAACAGGGTTAAGGGAGTATCCTTTCTGTGACCCTTTCCTATCTTCTTTTCAAGGAAGCCTGGCTTTGAAGAACAGGGTTAAGGGAGTATCCTTTCTGTGACCCTTTCCTATCTTTTTTTCAAGGAAGCCTGGCTTTGAAGAATAGGGTTAAGGAAGCATCCTTCCTGCAACACTTTCCTATCTTCCTTTCAAGGAAGCCTGGCTTTGAAGAACGGGGTTAAGGAAGCATCCTTCCTGTGACCCTTTCCTTTCTTCCTTTCAAGAAAGCCTGGCTTTGAAGAATAGGGTTAAAGAAGCATCCTTCCTGCGACCCTTTCCTATCTTCTTTTCATGGAAGCTTGGCTTTGAAGAACAGGGTTAAGGAAATATCCTTCTTGCAACCATTTTCTATCTCCCTTTCAAGGGAACCTGGCTTTGAAGAACAGGGTTAAGGAAGCATCCTTCGCGCGACCCTTTCCTATCTTCTTTTCAAGGAAGCCTGGCTTTGAAGAACGGGGTTAAGGAAGCACCCCTCCTTAGACACAGTTTGTCATGGTGTTCTTCTATTCTGATTGGCCTAACGGACAGCGCTCACAGGGCAACCCTGTTCAAGCAGCACACGGCAGCCTCTCTGTGCCATGTGGCGCCGAATAGGGGAGGCAGAGCCGTGATCTGTGGCCATGTGGTCCCGTAATGGATGAAAGTACGTGACAGTTGATCCCTTACCATTAAGGCCATCGGGCCAAGACAAACAAGCCAGATTGGCCAAAGGGAACCAACCAGTCTAAATTTGTGAACAAGCCTACCAGATATCTCAAAAATGGCCTGAAGGAGCTTAGGATTTGTCTCAACTAGTGAATATATTTCCCATATGCAGTCTGTTCCAACTACTGCTCCATCCTCATGAGGCACTCCCCCCACCCCCCGCCCTTAATGAAGGCATAACTTTACTTTTGGGTTCCTCCCTCAGAAACCCATTCTCCCTCAGATACACATTCTGCATATCTCATGCAGGGTTTTATCAATTTTATTCCTAGTACATTTGACCCGCCCACTGTGCTCTATTTCTCTATCATGTTATTTTGAAACGGTTTATTTTATTTTGTTATTTCATGTATTTATTTTGATGGTATTTTTGCTTCTTGTATTTTATTTTGCTGTACTGTAATTTTGGGCTTGGCCTCATGTTAGCCGCCCCGAGTCCCCTTTGGGGAGATGGTGGCGGGGTATAAAGATTATTATTATTATTATTATTATTATTATTATTATTATTATCTAAAGCTACACATCTACACTTCCTCTTCATGAAAGGTCCAGTAATTCCCTCAAGGCTTCTATTCAAATAGTTGTCCTAAGAATAATGATCTTCTAATGTAAATGTTACTGGATTATCTGTTATGTATTCTCTCTCTTTTTTCCCTGGTGTAGTTTTATTGAGGTGCTTCTACCAACTAACCTTATTCAGTAGGACTCCCTCCCAAGCATATGTATAGGATGGTAGCCTTAATTGCTGAGGGTGAGATGTTGGGTGACACGTCTGTCGCATTTTCAAAATACTGTATATACTCGACTATAAGCCTAGTTTTTCAGCCTCTGTTTTAGGCTGAAAAAGCTCCCTTTGGCTTATACTGGAGTCAAAGTTATTTATTATTTTTCTCTGTTATTAGCATTATTTTTATTACATTTATTTTACACTATTTATTATTATTATTACATTTACAGTATTTTACCCTATTATTATTACATTTATTATTTTACTCTATTTATTATTATCATTACATTTATTAATTTACTTTATTGCATTTATTATTTTACTCTATTATTACTGTTATAATTGCATTTCCAACATTTTACTCTATTATTATTATATTTATGATTTTACTCTATTATTGTTGGAAGGATACGTAAAGAAGGTTAGAATAATGATTTAATCAGAGTTGGGCAGTCTTATCTTAAATTACAGTCTTATGTAAATATTCAAAAACATTTCACCTCCTGATGCCTCGATTAATGTAATTTTATTGGTTATCTATTTTTATTTTGAAATTTACCCATAGCGCTTGCATTTCCTACCCTCGGCTTATACTCGAGTCAATACATTTTCCCAGTTTTTTGTGGTAAAATTAGGTGCCTCGGCTTATATTCGGGTCGGCGTATACTCGAGTATATACGGTAATTGCATATCCATTAGAAAACTTTTTAAAAATGAATTAAAAATTCAAAATTTCATCTCTCTTACAGGAAAAAAAACATTTTTGAAAATGGATTCTTTTGTTGTTTTTGCTTGTTTAAAAGTTACTTTCTCAATGAGAATTAGCTGCATTTCTGTCATTCTGAGATTGTACCTGTGAAAGTCCAAAAACACAGGAGGTTGATTATGTATTTTATAGTAATTTGTAACAGTCATTGTGACAATTAATGCTGGCATATTGCAAGTTTGATAAATTTAATTTCTTTGCAGATATATAACAAACTGAAGACTGTGCCACGTATGACAACTTACCTGAAAGAGGATATTCCTGATAGATTCTATTATAAAAAAGGGAAATTTGTTGCTCCTTTGACACTTGTTGCTGAAGAAGGAGGATTCATTGTAGAGGTAAATCACCTGTGTCTAGACTGTATAAGTGTGACTCAAGCATAATGTCAAGGGTCAACCCAACACAATTTGCTGGCTGATACAGAGTTACGGATAGCACCTGCACACAAAAAAAAGGAGCATCATAAACCCAAATATGGCCCTGTTATCTGCGTATGGGAGGTAGACAATCCTTCATGCATCCCATCTACCAAATAGCAATGAAAATTGATATCATAAGCAATGTTCTGCCTTTTCATGACATTCAGAATCTGCTGCCTATGGCATTCATCCCATTCTGTCTAATATTAAGTCTGACTCTGCTACCTGGCAATAAACTTAATTTTGCAGGTAGACCATAGGTTATGCCAACCGGCTTAACAGTATGAGGAGGGAAGCACTGTAATTGACAGAAGTCTGCCTCGATTATCAATTAAACTTCCCCCTTTAGTTTTAACTGTAGCATGATAAAATGTGAAATGTTAATACAAGTGGAGCATCCCTTCTATGGAATTTCAAAATACTCTATAATTCTCCAGATAGGTTGCTAAGATAGTAACACTTTGCTATCGTACGCTTTAACATACACAACTAGGAGCTCTTGGTGGCATAATGGGTTAAACTCTTCTGCCAGCAGGATTGAAGACTGACAGGTCAGAGGTTTGAATCCGGGGAGTGTGTGGATGAGCTTCCTCTGTCAGCTCCAGCTCCCCATGCAGGGACATGATAGAAGCCTCCCACAAGGATGGTAAAACATCAAAACATCCGAGCGTCCCCTGGGCAATGCCCTTGCAGATGGCCAATTCTCTCACACCAGAAGTGACTTGCAGTTTCTCAAGTCATTCCTGACATGAAAAAAATGTATACAACTTCATGAACAAAAATTATTCATACTGTTGTATAACATTACCTTCAGGTTATGTGTACAAAGTGTATAAAAGGTAAAGGTTTCACCTTGATATTACGCCTAGTTGTGTCCAACTCTGGGGGTGGTGCTCATCTCCATTTCTAAGCTGAAGAGCTGGCATTGTCCGTAGATGTCTCCTAGGTCATGTGGTTGGCATGACTGCATGGATCGCCATTACCTTCACACTAAAACGGTATCTATTCATTTATTCACATCTGCATGTTTTGAACAGCTAGGTTGACAGAAGCTGTGGCTAACAATGGGAGCTCACCCCATCTGCAGATTTGAACCATCGACCTTCCAATCAGCAAGTTCTGCAGCTTAGCTGTTTAACCTGCTGCGCCACCACTGCCCCATATATAAAGTGTATATGAAGCATAAATGAAATTCATGTTTAGACTTGCTCCCAAATCGCCCAGATATCTCATTATGTAGGTATATAAGAATACGGTATATATAAAAATATATATGAAAAACATGAAGTCTTCACAACTTCTGAAGATGCTTGCCATATATGTGGGTGAAACATCAGGAGAGTATACTTCTGGAACATAGCCATATGACTCGGAAAACTCATAGCAACCTAGTGATTCTGGCCATGAAAGCCTTCAACCACAGGCTGATTTTAATTTTTATGAAGCATAATAATAATTATTATAATTATTATAATTATAATTATAATAATACAACAACAACAATGGACTATAAGCAGAGGCATAACACCATTTCTCAGATGGTCCATTGGAACTTGTGCCACAAATACCATCTGCCTGTGACAAAAAACTGATGGGATCACAAGCTTGAAAAAGTTATACAAAATGAACACGTCAAACTACTTTGAGATTTCCGAATTCAGACTGACAGAGATTTGAAGCACAATACTCCTGACCTCACGATTGTGGGAAAAAACCAAAGTATGGATCATCCATGTTGCAATCCCAGGTGACAGCAGAGTTGATGAGAAGTAACTGGAAAAGCTTAGATGATATTTATTTATTTATTTATTATTTATTTCTTGCACTTATTAACCGCCACTCTCAGCCCTAGGGCGACTCGTGGCGGTGTACAACAACATAAAAAAGACGGTTTACAATAGATCAAGACAGTAACAACATTCTACTACTACATAACAACTACTTATACTAAAAATCCGCTTCGTCGTATCATGGGGTCATAATCAATCTCATAGTCGTAGTCCATTCCGGTCGTCATTTCCAATAGCATAGCACTCAGTTGAAGGCCATCTCGAAGAGCCATGTTTTCAGGCTCCTACGAAAGGCCATCAAGGAGGGCGCCTGTCTGACTTCAGCAGGGAGGGTGTTCCACAGCCGGGGGGCCACCACCGAGAAGGCCCGTTCCCTCGTCCCCGCCAAACGTGCCTGTGAGGCAGGCGGGACCGCGAGAAGGGCCTCCCCGGATGATCTCAAGGTCCTCGTGGGCTCGTAGGCCGAGATGCGGTCTGCAAGGTATTTTGGGCCGGAACCGTTTAGGGCTTTGTAGGATAAATAAATAAATAAAAGACCACCCTACTTGGATCTCCACGCATTATTCGCCTATACATCACACAGTCCTAGACACTTGGGAAGCTTACAACTGATAATAATAAGCAGGCATGTAGCCGGGGGGGGGGGGGGCTTGGGGGCTTTAGCCCCCCCCAAATTCTCATGGTAGTCCATGAGAAGACCTTATTGGTACATTATTAAAACTGTTATGTTTATTCATATCATGATCTGATCACCATGCTCAATATATCCCATATGCATGGGGGTATTGGGTAACGATACAAAAGGTTTGCTAGGGTAGACCCTCTTTCACTCAGACTCAGCCCCCCCTGGAATCAAACTCACCCCCCCCCCGAAACAAAATCCTGGCTACGGGCCTGATAATAAGCATACAACTAAATCAAACAATAAACTCACATAATAATTAAAACATACAAATACCGTAACGTATTAATAACATTCAGAATAGTTGAAGCATCTTCTGCAGAGTTCACTGTAAACACTGCACAACAAATTTGTGTGAATGCCTGAAACAGTCTCTAAGTGCCAGTCAGAAAACTTTTCCTGTTTCCAAAATTTTGGGACCCCAACACTGAGCTAAGGGGACCCCATTTGGGTTTCGGACCCACCATTTTAGAAACAGATTTATGGAGGACCTAGAGATTCCTAGAGAGGTGTTCTCTCAGGTCAAAAAAGGGGAGGGCATTCATAGTTTTCTGCTGTTATGAGGATTGTGCACTCTTAACTACTATAAACAAGGAAGGCCTATTGTACTTGGTTGTTGTAGGTTTTTTCGGGCTATATGGCCATGTTCTAGAGGCATTCTCTCCTGACTTTTCGCCTGCATAATGACGTTTCGCCTTTGTAAAGAAGTACAATAGGTATATTGTCAAAGGCTTTCATGGCTGGAATCACTGGGTTGTTGTAGGTTTTTTCGGGCTATATGGTCATGTTCTGGAGCAGTAGTTCTCAACCTGGGGCCCCCAGATTGGGAGCCATCTATGGCAAGCATCCTCAGAGGTACCTTCACTACCTCTGAGGATGCTTGCCATAGATGCAGGCGAAACGTCAGGAGAGAATGCTTCTAGAACATGGCCATATACCCCGAAAAAACCTACAACACCCCAGTGATTCCGGTCATGAAAGCCTTCGACAATACACTTACTGTACTTCTTTACAAAGTACATTATGCTAAAAAGCAGCAGTTTTTTTTATTAGAGTTCTGCTTAAAAAAGCAGTTGTTTCACATCATAACCTCATCTGTTGAATCAAAGACTTGTACTTTGGGGGAAAAAATCATAATTTCAACTACATCGAAACGCAACATAAAACCCCCACCTCCACTGATGATTGCAGATTCAAATCCCACTTTTTTAAATGAATGATGCAAACAATTTCACGACTAAATAATGACTCAAGTCAGGAATGATGCCTTTGCAATATATAGCATCAGTGCATTTGTGGCAGTCACACAATAAATTGGTCCTCTTTTGCCTTTCTTAGCTTTCTGTTTCTATTTATGATGAGAATCCATGCCTAGAAACTGTCAGCACTGTGTTCATTAAAAAAATACTTTAAAAATGTGGAACCCCTTGAGTATCCCTACATTTCTTTGTATTTAATTGTCAGCAGATGTACTAGATAATTTAACAATTCTAGCTGACAAATTAAATCTGTTTCTCTCTTTCTGTTTATTTGCACTGACAGCATTCAGAGTGAGCAAAGGACAAAAAAATGGGACTGCCTTCCTACTTGAGGTTCCCGTCTTCTGTTTTCTTTAATGCAGTTTCAGGATCCTAACAGTGGTCTGGGCAATATTAGGCAGTGCCCACCATGTTTGCTACCATCAACTTATTATGGCCTGCCGTGGATCTTCCAGTTCAAAACCACTGTAAAGGCAGCATGACATTACTCAAGTCAAACCTTTCAACAGTATTCGATTTGGCTGTTAAGTTGTGTGCCAAAATCAAGGAATTGTATAACTTCTGCTCAGACTATTGTACAAACACAATCAATATGTTGGTACATAATGAGAATGCAGTCTAAACAGAGCAATTTCCATCGTAGGGGTTCACATTCAATGCATGTAAATGTATTGCAAATTTTCTAGATTGTGTCAGCAAGTGATGTCATCAAATCAATATGTCCCCAGAGTCAGTCAGAGGACTAAAAAAGGAATCACATTCCTCAGAGCTAAAAAGAACATGGGTTATGGCTCAATGGGAACTACTGGTGGTTGTTTTTAATTGCCATCAAATCAGCTTTGACTTATGAATGAGAAACCTCCAAGATCCCTGGTCACCAATTGCCCATCTTGCGGACTCAGGGACGTGGCTTACTTGATTGAATTCAGGTAAAGGTTTCCCCTTGACATTAAGTCTCCTAGTGTCTGACTCTGAGGGGTGGTGCTCATCTCCATTTCTAAGTCAAAGAGCTGGCATTGTCCGTAGACACCTCCAGGGTCATGTAGCCAGCATGACCACATGGAGCGCCATTACCTTCCCACCAAGGCGGTACCTATTGATCCACTCACATTTGCAGCTCCTGCTAGAATGGCAGGAGCTGGGGCTAACAGCAGGAGCTCACTCTGCTCCCTGGATTCAAACCACTGACCTTTTGGTCAGCAAGTTCAGCAGCTCAGCGGTTTAACCCACTGTGCCACTAGGGGCGCCTGACTGAATTTATTTGCTTGTAACTCAGGCTGGATGTACACTGCCATATATCATAGGATCTGGCAGTGCATACTGATATAATCCAGTTCAAAGCAGATAATCTTGCAACAGATCTAGCCACAGTCTTCATCTTTTCCTGTTGTGTACCTTTTCTAAGGAATCATGACTTTTCATGATACATTCACAGTATCACAATCTCAATTTAGTCATGTTATCTTCCAGGGAAATGAGTATCTTTTTGGAGTCCAAAGACAAGACTGGCTCTCTTAGAAGACCCTGTGGGGGGGAACTACTACTTGGAATAAAATGAAGGAATAAAGGGTTTTTTTTTCTTGGCAATGCCTTCCTTAGAAAAGTTATTTGGGATTTGAGAAGGCCCTTACAGAGCTTTTCCAACCTTACCCTGGTGCTAACATTGTATCCCTTTATGTGATACCTATGTTTATGTGCTTATGTGTCTTACAATGTAATTGCTGCTTTTAATCACTGGGACATGATTTTAGCTGACTGGTGAGTCATTCTTATTTTCTCATTGACTTTTATTTTGTCTTTCTACAAAATAAGTCTGAGTCTATATAATGAAGAAAATGCTTTATGGGATCTTCTTCAGATCACTTCTTATGAAACTGTGGGTTTCGACCCCAAATGGGATTCCATTACCTCAATGTTGGGGCCATGAAAAATTTGGCAACAGTAAAAAGTTTCTGAACATCCCCCATTTACACAAGTCGGTTAGCAACAATGTACAATGCTTCAGCTGTACTCGACAAAAAGGAAAGCCCGTTTAGCAAACTTTGCAAATGCTGATTTCTTATCAGTAAATGTTTGGTATTTACACCTACCAGTGGTTCCCAACCTGTGGTCCATGGACCATCAGTGGTCCACATGAACTAAAATATGGTCCATGGCCTCAACATTACTACACCTTTGCAATGAGAGTGACTGGTCTCATGAAACCCTCTTATACTGCTGAAGCGGGGATGTTAGGGAGAGGTTGACTACCCACAAAAGGCACGACAGCAAGTCTTCTGACTGTTGCTTCTCCTCCTCCCCAAGTGGAGCCATTCTATGTGGCACCTGGAAGTGGGGGCACCTTGGTGTCTTCATTTTTAGGCCTGTTCCTGGGGTTATTTGGGGTTATTTATATAGACTACATCAGCTCTAAATTATTAAATATTGTTTTATGTGGGCGAGCAGATGGGGACTACTGGATGGCATATGTTCTGTAGCAGAAACTAGAGTTGATGTGGTCTATCCAATGCAATTTTCTGAAATAGCACCCCAAATAACCAAACTGAATCTAAAGTTGACCAAAAACTCTTTTGGTACTAATGTTGGAGAATGGTCCCTGGTCAAAGTTGTCCCTGGTCAAGTGGTCCCTTGTCAAAAAAAAGTTGGGAACCACTGCTATTACCCATATATCTGGAGTCACGTAAGCATTTCTCAGGCACATAGAGGTTGCAAGTGGAAAAAGTTTAAGAAGTCCTGCTCTAAATAGAGGACTCTTTTGTCATCTATATAAATAAAAATGTAATGTTCGTTTGTGGGATTAACATAACTTAAAAACCAGTGGACGAATTGACACCAAATTTAGACATAATACACCTATCAGGCCAACAAGTGACCACAACTAAGACAACCTCAGAAAAACACAGCGGAAAAGATTTTAAAAGCCAAAAAAGCCAAAAAGACACTACAGGTCATGTGCAAAAACGACTCCCCCGGCAAACAAAACACACAATAGCATATCCACACTCTATTCCGGACTACAGCTCCCAGCATCCCCTAGACCAGGCCCTTCAGGAGAGGAGGAGGATCCAAATGAACTACTTCCAAGATGCAAGCTTTCTTCTTGGATTTCTTTGAGAGCATCCCAATCCCGGCATATTTCCAATTTCCTGTTCCTGGACTGCAACTCCCAGCAATTCTCCAGATAGATAAGACAGATAGATTAAAGATAGATACATAAGGAGATAGATTGATCAGAAGGACTGCTGTGAGTTGAAGTCCAAGAATAGGTAGTGAAAGAAGAAGGGAGAAAGGGAAAGGGAAAGAAAAGGGTGAAGTAAGAGAAGAGGAAGGAAGGAAGGAAGGAAGGAAGGAAGGAAGGAAGGAAGGAAGGAAGGAAGGGGAGGGAGGGAAGGAAGGAAGGAAGGAAGGAAGGAAGGAAGGAAGGAAGGAAGGAAGGAAGGAAGGAAGGAAGGAAGGAAGGAAGGAAGGAAGGAAGGAAGGAAGGAGAGAAAGAAAGGAGGAGAGAAAGAGGGAGGGAAGGTTGGCCAGGTACAGCTATTTGCTATAGTGTGAATATTTTTGAATTCTGTACCATTTATTGCAAGAACATATGAACACTTTTGCAGCGAAACCTCTTCTACCCCAGATAACTAGCCTGAGCATGTGTAATGTATTCCTTTTAATCGGAAACCCTCTCTTCTGCAGAGCAGAGAAGCCCTTCCATTCTGGGAGAACGGCACTGGAAAAAGAGAAGCATGGCAGAATGGTTGGCATGGCTATGATAATGAACTCATGGATATGAGAGGATTCTTTCTTGCATTTGGGCCAGGTAGGTATTCGGAGAAGTAGATAAGCCTCCCTCACCATTCTGTTGAAGCTCTGGGACTGTGTTAATTGCATATGGGTAATGTTGTTCGTTAAACGGACAAGTTTTCAAAATTACTTATCGTGTTTATGTTTGCTTTAAAAGCACTTGGTCAAATAGCATTTAACTTGTTCCATCACTATAATGTCCAACCAATTTGTTCAAATGATTTCATTTTATGTTGCCTGACGATCCTATAGTATTGCGCAGGACATAAATATTTCAATCCATCAATAAATTCATGTCTATGTGTGGGCCATTAGAACCCACTTAAGGTACATAACTAATACAATCTCTTCCTGTTAATGCAGTTGTGATGTCTTGGGGAGGACAGAGAGAGAGAGAAAGGGTAATGCTCGCATAATTTTAGATGTTAAATTATTTAAATATCCATCTTAAATCTATCACTGGCCACAGTAATATGATTTCTTAAGATTCAGAACAACTCAGAATGATGCAAGGCTAAAATGAGGTCTCAGGTTTTATCCTGGGCATTAACCAGATTCCAAAAAAAATCTGCCCCAAGTTCTCTGTAGCTTATTGAATAGGATGGATGAGCCATACCAGTGATCGCATCAGTGTTGGAAACTACCTTTGAATACACTAATCCTACCACTTTTTTATCATGTCAGAAGTGAATTGAGAATACAGTCATAAAGTATAGAAAAACTACAAACAAAGTTAAAAACTTGGCATTATGCTAAATTTCCTTTGACCAGAAGCTGGCCACTTGGAGTGCCTCTGGTGTCGCTGTGAGAAGGTTCTCCATTCTGGTTGCATTGTCCCAAGTGGTCTGTGGTTTGTGGTTCTCCACACTTGCATGTCGTTGACTCCACTTTGTAGCCTCATTTCTTAAGATTAGCTCTGCATCTCGTAGTGCCGGAGCGCAGTCTGTTCAGCACCTTCCAAGTTGCCCAGTCTTCTGTGTGCCCAGGAAGAGTTTCTCATCTGGTCTCAGCCACTGATTGAGATTCTGGGTTTTAGCCTGCCACTTTTGGACTCTTGCTTACTGAAGTGTTCCTGCAAGTATCTCTGTAGATCTTAGGAAGCTGTTTCTAGATTTAAGGCATTGGAGTGCTGGCTGATATCCCAACAGAAGATGGGCCGGAATTGTCAATGCCTTGGTCCTTTCATTACAGGTTGCTACTTCCCAACAGATATCAGGTGGTACAATACCAGCAAAACAGTATAAGTTCTCCAGTGATGTTGGGCATAGACATCCTGTGATAATTAAGAGCCTACCACTGCTCAATCCTTTAATTATAATTGGAAAGGTCCCGTAAATTCTTTGTCAAGTAAGATCTAACTCCAATATGTTGGTTGATAGTACTATACTTACCTGATAGTATATCTCATTGTATGACCGTAATTGGACATACTCTGAGGTAGTAGAAAGAAATGAAATAAAATATTACTAAACAAAACCACAAAAATGGAGGTTAGGGTCACCAAAGATACACATTCAGTCATATTTTAGATTTTTGTATGCCTTTCAAGTACTATATAAGGACCATGGGATACAAAGCTAAGGCTAGTTTACAGAAGTAAGGCTTGGCTTGCTTCTCTCCAAGGTTGATCCATAACAGCAAGGAATGAAGCATAATTGGGAGCAAGCAAAGATCCTGCCATAGATCCAGCAAACTGGATTCAAGGTGCAGATGATTACGTACAAAGCCCTAAATGATTCAGGACCTGTCTATCTTCGAGATCGCATCTTCCCCTATGAACCAGCACGTATTTTAAGATCATCTGGGAAGGCTATGCTCTCGCTTCCGCCGCCTGGTGGGAACGAGAGGGCCTTCTTGGTGGTGGCCCCTCAGCTCTGGAACCCGCTACTCAAAGAGATCAGTTTGGTCCCTATCCTTTCCATTTTCTGCAAGTAGTTAAAAATTTGGATGTTCCACTGTGCATTTGATTAGGCAGTTCCACCAGATAATTGGATCGATTTCACCATAGCTCTTCACGCTTTCTTTGGCCCTCCCATCCTGATACTGTAAACGCCTAAGGACGTTATCCTTCCTGCTGTGATCTGGATTTGAAGCGCATCTTGTACATTCCCTGATCCCTCCGCATTCAACACTTATTCTTTCAGCCATGATACTGTTTTTAAAATGTGTAATGTGATTGTAATGTTTCTTTGATGTTGTGGTTGATTTTATTTTGTCTTGTTTTATTTTAGTGTGTGTGTTGTAATCTGTATTTTTGGGCTTGTCCCCTTGTAAGCCCCAAGTCCCTTCGGGGAGATGATGGCAGTGTATAAAATAAAGTTATTATTATTATTATTATTATTCAGCATGTAGGGGGGGGGGGGCTTGCGGGGCTTCAGCCCCCCCCCCAAATTCTCATGGTGGTTCGCGAAAAGGCCTTATTGGTGCATTATTTAAACTGTTATGTTTATTCATATCATGATCTGATCACCATACTCAATATATCCCATATGCATGGGGGTATTGGGGTAATGATACAAAAGGTTTGCTAGGTAGACCCTCTTTCACTCAGACTCAGCCCCCCCCGAAACTCAGCCCCCCCCGAAACCCCCCCTGAAAAAAAATTCAGCCCCCCCCGAAACGAAATCCTGGCTACGGGCCTGATTATTATTATTATTATTATTATTGAGATACCAATAGAAAAAGCCAGTAGAAAAAGCAAGACTAGCTGAAAGGGACAAAAGTGAAGAGACAATATATGTTCAAAAGGAGTAGGGACAAAGTAGAAGATAATGTCAGAAGCAGATATGATCCAGGAATAAACTCTTGCTTAACTCATAGCCCAGTGGCAATATCTATACTTCTTGCAGATTGTCAGAATTACAAGTTTGGGATGTTTAAAACAGTTTTATACTTTAGATTGATTTTAGTCTTCACTTGAAAACTGTAGAAAAAAAAGGCAAATGTTAAATGATAGTCACGTTCTTGTTTATTTCACTGCTACCTTGCCTTTGAAATACTTGGCCAAAGGCAAAAACTGATCAAATATTAAATTTCACAGAATTTTTATTCAGACCATCAGATTGTGGAACAATCTTTCAAAATTAATGAAACCACTCAAGTATTACCAGAGTGGACTGCTGCAGTCACCCTTAGAAAATAGTGATCCATCTCTGATGTTTTGTATAAGTTTTCGGACCACATTGGTACCTTTTTTAAAAACTTGCTGTTAAATCCAACATTTGTTTATATCCTGTATCATGACTATGAATACCTCAAGTCTGAAATGCCTCGTTGTCATTTTGTTTCAGATTTCAAGACTAACTTCAGGGCAGCACCAATCAGAGCGGTTGATGTTTATAACGTTATGTGCAAAGTTGCAGGGATACAGCCACTGCCCAACAATGGATCCTGGTCAAGGACGGAGTGCATGCTAGAGAATAACGCCAATTTGGCAGAGGCATTCCAGTGGAGCGGTTCTGTGCTGGCACTAATTCTGTTTGCATTGTTTGTATAACAGACTTTGTTGCACCGGTCCCAATACAATGTTAGCCACTGTTTCCCATTCATCACTTGAATAGCAGCATTAATAGAACGCGATCTGGAGAAGAATATACAATTTGATTTCTCAAAAATCCAGCCTACTGTCAAATGTTTATGGCTTCTAAGAAACAAAGCAAATGCGCTCTTTTGGGCGAGGAGGGCAGGGGCCAGTTTGTGCAGAAAGACTGGACGCTTTCAATAGTTTAATTGAAAGTCCAAAATTAATTTTCAAGTATACAAGGAAATGTTCTCAGCAGTGATCGCTTATGCCATATTTTTTTCACTCCTTGTTAGCACATACTCCCAAACCAGCCAACTCCATGTCAATCATGTCTGTCCTTATGGACTTTTGCTATTACTATTATAGGCAGAAGGTTTGTGGCATTTTGACACTCCAGTATAACACATTGACATAGAAGCAGAAAGTAAAATGGATTTTATCAAAATGAATTTGCAATGCAGTTAAACAAGGGTGTCGTGTGCTCCTATCATCATCATCATCATCATCATCATCATCATCATCATCATCATCATCATCCCTGGAGACTAGGATGTGGAGCAATGGCTTCAAACTACAGGAAAGGATATTCCACCTGAACATTAGGAAGAACTTCCTAACTGTGAAAGCTGTTCAGCAGTGGAACTCTCTACCCCGAAGTGTGGTGGAGGCTCCTTTGGAGGCTTTTAAACAGAGGCTGGATGGCTATCTGTTGGGGTGCTTTGAATGTGATTGTCCTGCTTCTTGGCAGGGGGTTGGATCTGATGGCCCATGAGGTCTCTTCCAACGCTATGATTCCACTGGGACTGGGACTCCACAAGGAGTCCCAGTTACAGCTCTTTGGACTAGCAGATGCTTCTCAAAGGCAGCCCCATATAGAGCACATTGTAGAAACCCAAACAGGAGATAATTAAGGAGTTTATCACATGAAAACAGCAAATCACAATTACAGCAGGACAGTGCCTTTGCCTGGGACTTACCACAATTTTGCTCCTTTCTTGATACAGCCTGGAAACGGGTTCTTTTACGAACAAAAATAGAATCATGAATGGGAAGAGATCACATGGGCCATCTAGTCCAACTGCTGCCATGCAGGAAAAGCACAATCAAAGCACCCCTGTCAGATGGCCATAATGCCTCTGTTTACAAGCCTCCAAAGAAAGAGGCTCCACCACACCCTGAGAGTTCCACTGTTGAACAGCTCTCACAGTCAAGAAGCTCTTCCTAATGTTCAATTGGAATACCCTTTCCTGTCATTTGAACCCATTATCTCCTTTTACAAAAGAAACTCTTTACAATGGTTTCCCACCAGGAGAGTAGCAGGAAAGGATGTGATACGCCCCAGCCAAAAGATGCCATTGTCCTGCTATAATTATGATTTGCTTCATTCATGTGATAAACTCCTGTGGCATGCCCCATCATGGACATGTTGACATCACAAAGAATGGGTACGACTGGAACATAAGCCATAACTGTGCAAATACACTCCTGGAAACCACCAACACCTAAGTTTCCAGAATCATGTTGAATCAAGATGGACATCCAAACTGCAAACCTGTGTTGTCATGGGGAGCATAATCCCATTCAGGCTGAATTCCTATTTGCGGTCTGCTTTCCAAGGAGCACCACTGTTTCGTCTGGATTGAATTTCAACTTGTTTACTCTCATCCATTGCATTACTGATGACGGTCGCCGGTTCAAGATCTAAACAGCTTCTTTGGACTGAAGTGGAAAGGAGTAATAGAGTTGGGTGTCACATTTTGGGCATAACTACCATACATGAACATATGCATCTCTCTTTCACACAAAGTGTTCTGTAATGGCTGGTAAACATTTAAGTCTGTATGCTTTTTTAAAAGCTCAAGTGAACCATCAAATCCATTGGAAGGGAAAAACGCAAGGCAAAGTAAGCAAAGTAGGCTTTTGTTATCAGGCAATTGAGTATAAAAGGCAATTTAGTTCTTTCTAAGCATTTGCAGTGGCTGGGAAACAAACAGCTCTTGTTTAGAGGCCTGTGTTTCTCATTAATAGACCAGGCTCTTTGAATTCTTTGGTGCTCTCTCCCCTTGCCCATGAATTTTTTTTTAAAAAAAACCCAAACCCAAATAAACACAATTCAAAACTATCATTATAAATAGTTGTAACCTTCAAATCTTCAAAATGATGTACAAATTTGAAGAGCCAAAACATATAGTTAAGTCTCTATTTTCTTATGACCAAACAGTTTCATTATTCCCTTGCTTCCATCTTGCATTATCTGTAGTTTTAATCCTACTTATAGCGTTCCTATATGTTTTTACACATGAGTTGGGACCACTAAACCAGTGGTTCCCAACCTTTTTTTGACCAGGGACCATTTGGACCAGGGACCACTCTCCAACATTTGTATCAAAAGGGCTACGAATCAGTTTTTGGTCAACTTTAGATTTGGTTTGGTTACTTGGGGTGCTGATTCAGAAAAATGCATTGGATAGACCACATCAGCTCTAGTTTCTGATACAGAACATATGCCGTCCAGGCTGCCCACAGAAAACCATATTTAATAATCTAGAGCTGATGTGGTAGTAGTAATCTTTTGTGGATAGTAACCTCTCCCCTCCCAACATCCCTATTGCCTAGGCACTATAAAAGGGTTTTGCGAAACCAATTGTTCTCATTGCTATGTGGTTTCAAAGCAACGGTGTAGTAATGGTGAGGCCACGGACTATATTGTAGTTCTTGGGGACCACTGGTAGTCCATGGACCACTGCACTAAACTAATTGGAATTGTCTCTCAAGTAAGTATGCTTAACATTGCAAACTTAAATGCCATAGGAGTGCCATAGAAGATCTAGAAAAAGTTCTACCATGGTATCTTCTCTAGGAATTTGCTAGATCCTTCAAGATGGTAACTTCTGGTAAAAGCATGACATAGAATCACTTGGAGGACTTAGAAAATCCCTAAAGAGGACATTTTTTGATGCAGGTAGGTGAAACAACAGTTACAAGGATTGTATTGTAATTCAAGCCTGCAAATACAGATACAAAAATCTTAGCAGCCTGCCATAGAATTATAGTATTTATTTATAACACAAATAATTTTGACCTTGAGTTCTGAAATAGAACGTGGAGTTCCTTATGGCCCCTCCCCAAAATATCTGGCTACCTTACTTAGAAAAAACATTGTTTTGGAAACTTCTCCTGATTATTAATAAAGTTAATAAATGATAGCACTGTTCCATTGTGAAAATATGATTAGTTGAAATGAGAAATACCGTATTTTTCCAAAGTAGGATGACATTTTTCTCAATTAGTTGTTGTTGTGTGTCTTCAAGTTATTTCTGATTTATAGCAACCGCATCACGGGGTTTGCTCAGTAACACAAATATCGATGACAAAATTTAATTTATAATCCTTTACCGAATTTCTAAGGAAATGTTGTTTTATATCATTTCAAAAACAGAAAAAAGAACCTCAGTTTTCTCTTTAAATTATGAAAACTACTGAATGAAAGCTTAGACTTTTCTTGTCTATGACACAGTTCTACCTCCCATGATTAACAAACTCAGAGTGCCCTCTTCTGGTGATATATAAGGCTGCCCTTACACGTTACAAGTTAAATTAACTCTACTTATTCAAGAGACTGAGCACGCACTTCCACCCACACCTGGACAACATAAAAAGGCATAAAGTATGAAAATAAATATTCAATAGTTATAGTAGTAATTGTTCATATTTTAGATCTGAGCAGTTGGAGCCAGGAAGTATTTCTATGGGATTCTAAAATTTCTAATTTTGGAGAGCCCCCCCCCCACCCTTTTTATTGCATCAACCCAGAAATCAAGGCAGTTATATTGTTTTGCATATTCTTTCATTTTCCTAAGTTTATACTTCTTAAGGAATCAGCGTGGTATTTAGACACAGAAGCAGCTGAGCACTGTAAGAGCTAGAGTCCCACCAGCTCCTTGAAACGGTTAACGTGATTTCTGTGTGTGTGTTTTTAAATTAACACTTAATATGTTAAGAGCTAATTTAATCTAGCATATTATTTCAGCTGCTTGGACAAAAAGGACAGGGAAGTGCAACTGAATCTCGCTTTTCCCTTCTCTCTGAAGCACGGGAAGCTCTGGCAGCAGAATCGCCTCTTGTAATCTGAAGTAAGAATATTAAAGGTGGCATCATCCTGTAATATAAAACACACATTTTTCTAAAACATGCACAAAAGCAAGCATTAAAATGAAGTTAGAAGTTTAAAATTGAGTGTAAAGTAGTTTGATATCAAACAAAGGCAAGGAACGGATCTGTTTGAAATTCAGAAAAGTAGTACAATTTTGAAGCTGATACCAGTGGCAATGCTGAAAGTTTAACTTTATATGCATTTTTTTTGCTATGGGTGGAGGCTGTGGATTCCTCCATGCATAGCCCCAGGAAGCATGCTTTACACATGGCAACACATAGAATGTAATCTTCTATGCATTAACACCTCTTATTAGTGTAAAGCTGGGGTCTAGGCCATTATTCCATCCAAGTACTAACTAGAGCTGACGCTATTTAACTTGCAATATTAGAGTGAATCCTATGCCATTAGGGTATTTAGAGCCTTGACAAGTTTATTAAAATTCCTGCCAGATCCAAAAGTCAATCAGCTGCAAGGTAGATGGCATGGCTGATCCAACCAGATCCTAGCCGGCCCCAGGCTCAGCCAATCAGCACTCAGGGTGTCAAGTCCTTTGTTTTGAACTGCTGTCAAAGTCCTATAATAAATACATATCTATGTTCCCACAAATAAAGCCTCTGTTCTTTTGCCTTCATCCTGCTGTGACTTATTTTGGATTGGAGGTAGGCATGCCGGGACCTTGAATCCATGGTTCTTGTGGAGCTGAAATCACATAGCAATAGGATGTAATTTCCTTTACATTTACAATGTCTTCTTACATTTACATGTTTCATTTTATGATCAGTCACTGGAAAACTGAAGTGCATGAAAAGGAAAATTTGTGTAGAACCTCATTTTTTTCTGGAGTAAGGAATGCATTTGAAAGCCTTTTGGGTGCCTCTCTGCTCAGTAAGGGAGCATTATTTGAGAATTAAAACATGGACAACAATAGAGATCAG